GAGGGGGGGGGGTGCCCGGCTCGAGAAATAGGCACAGTTCGTCTTCCCGGGCCCGCCGTTTCTTGTTAGTTTGTGTAAAAAAAAAGAAAAGAAACGTCGCTTCGAAAACATCGAAACTTCACGGTAAAAACATTGTCTCATTTTTTGAGGGAATAGGGAAAACTTTGAGGAACTCCCATGTTTGACGAAGAGTCCTCCGATCTCGCCTCAGATTTTTAAGGAATATTCTCAAAAAATTAGGAAAAATCTCACATATTTTGAGAAGACTTCGTCGAAATCTGAGGAGTTTTTTTCATGCCAGGGGAGTTCCTGAAAGTTTTCCCTTTTCCCTCAAAAAATGAGACATTATTTTTACCGTGTTCGCTACACAATAATGGTGGTGTCAACTTTAAGATTAAATTCTGTCGTGTGTACCTCAACCTTTTCTGACATCTACCCTCTCCGTTCGGTTTTCCCGCAACGCGTTGGCGCAGGAGAAGTTATCGAGAACGGCTTAAATTTCCGGACAACCCCTCCCCTCCCCACGCGGGACAAAGTCTGTGCGCGCTCCAGGACGTTTGAGACTCCCGCGCCACGACGCGACACGCCTCACCGAAAAGTAGAGTGGTAAAGCGGCTCCCCCTCCTGCCTCTCCCTCTCTTTGTGAAACACTTCCAAGTATTTCCGTTTCCCGTTACGGCGGTGGAGCCGTGCGCGGGGTGCGCGTGGCGCGGGCCTGTGGCGAGTGCGGCGGCGAGTCTGCTCCGGGCGGGGTATGAGGGGAGGGGAGGGGGGGGCGATTTTGGGGTTACAGAAGAGTGGTATGGTCCGCGTGGGCCGCACACTTGTGTTTGGACAGCATGATGGTAAGCCTGTAGTGTTGACCCAAGGCTCACTCGACGGGGACACACACACGCTCAAGCACACGCACACGCATGCACCCAGCTGACTAACATAGCAAACCTACCAGGCAGCTTCCCTTCTCTGCTCGGGCGGCTCTCGCTGCTTTTTAAAGCTACCAGCTGGGCAAGAGGACCCGAAATCACGCTGCCAGGGCGGACCGGGCCAGGCTGGGTGCTGCCGGGCGGGAACACGGTCGGCGGAGTCTCGGGCCCCACGCAGCAGGACCCCTATGTATATTTTACAAGTGACTTTCATGAAAGAACCACCACCAACACCATCCCCTTCTCCGTTATCCAAAGTTTTCTCCCTTTTCCCGCGGAACTTGTTTTTTTTCCTTCCTCTCTCTCTCGCTCTTTCTCTTGATGAAGCTCATCACGATTCTGTGCTCCCTCTCTCCGGTTGCAGGCCTGAGCGGGGACCAGTTCAAGTTCGACTCTCAGGGTGACGGGCCGGCGCGCTACAACATCATCCACTTCAAGCAGGTGGCGCCCAAGGTGTACCGCTGGGTGCCCGTCGGGGAGTACAGCGAGGGCCGGCTGCGCCTCAACATGTCAGGTGAGCTCCATGTCATGCACCCCCCCCCCCCCCCCTGCCCTACTTACTTACACCTGTCGTTTTCTCGGGCGTCTTCTGTTATGTGTCTGTCTGTACGACGGTGATGCTCACTGTGCCCACCCCTCTCCCCCTATTTGGAGCCAGCGAAGGGGACCAAAGGACCACCACCGCTGAACCCACCCCTCCTCGCCGCGCCTCGGCCTCCTTCAGCGTGCTGATCCTGACGCCCCATCGCCTCTCCTCCTGGCTTCCTTAATCTCAATCCCTAGAATTCGTCACGGTGCCCCTTGCCTCCCCCTCCCACCCTCCCGCTCCTTTTTCTTCTTTCACTAAATGTTGAATTATTTAAGGGCTTAGCTCGATTCATA